ATCCACGTTGAATATTGTTAGGTCTATCTATTGATAAGAAAAGTGTTTATCTTAAAGGGACTATATAAAACCAATCAGTTAGAAAATCAAATGGAATGTCAGTGATACGATCCTCTATTTTATATATCTAAATTGGGGTATTTTATATAACTTTAATGTAGAAATATTTGATCATATATTGGATTGGCTATATATCATTGATAAGACTTGTTGGGTGCAGAGCAAAGACTTAAAGAAAGATAGAGAGAATAGAAGAAAGAAACTAAAAGACAAGAGAGAATAAAGAATTTAGGAAAAAATCCTGTCTACCAGCTTATCCTTGACCAAACCTCTTGATATTGATATTTCTAGGATTATCTGTATCCTTTTACAGCTGATTCAATAAAAATAAAAATCATTATTTCCATAGATAACAACTAAGATTCTTTATGATCCATCCTACAAGTTGGTCCTTGGTCAAATCTCTTGACACTTATCTTATGTAATTCCTCAAAATCAATGTTCAAATATCAAAATCAATAGTAGTCATTAATCTTCACTAATTAATGTCTGCAAGGTCAGCTCGGGGCTGTGGTTTCGAATCCTCCTTGAGATAAGAACAATTCTGATTCCTGTGCCAGTGCTTCTGAGAGTCAACTTGGTGATGGTTTTTACTCTAGTACTTATGTGAATATGAACAAAATTCAAAAGCAGCATCTTTAAACTTTTACTGATATCAATTACAGTAGAGCTCTATCTATATAATTATAAGGTTACATGGCCATTTATTGTGTCTTATTCCCTTTCATATACCATAAATACTAGGCCATTATTCTATATATGTACAATATATTTATAGGGGAGATATGTCTGCTTAGTACAACATATTTAAACAATGAGTCTCTTTTTTGTATCTAATAGGTACATTTTGTCAATGGGCTGCTCATTGCACCAGGCATGGATCAGCTGGACTAGCCTCAGTCCTTTGCTGTAAAGATGTCAGTGTTGGGAATTCTTTAAGGAAACATCAGCTGACAACTGGTGTTAGGTTTCAACCCTAAAAAACTTTTAAGGGTAGGTTCTGAGAAGCCGTAAGCCAAGGTAGCTTCCTTAATTTTTGAAAGGCCAGGGTTAATAAGCATAAGACAACCCATGTATGTAACCTTGAGTCAATCGTAAAAATATTTTAGTCTCCCCAATATTTGGGTGTTCGACTGCACCTGGATAAGGTAGTTCAGGTGATATGGAATATATTAAATGTATACATAATACATTAACAGTAGAAAACATTTCTATTGAATGATTCACTATAATGTTATTATAAATATTCAAATAGTAATTCATATAATATTTCTATTCATTGCCCCACTGTATGACCTTTTTCACCTTCACTTAAGAAGGGAAGTAAATCCATTTATTGAAACCAATTTCTTACACAATATTTGAAAGGCAGGTATGCAATATTCGAAAAAGCAACCCATTTGATACTATTATTACTGTAGGCCTATGTACAATCTTTTTTCAATTTCAATTCAAAAGGGAAGATATTCATTATATTAAATATTTGACAGTCACTGTAATCTCATGATTGTTTGAATATATGGGAATTCATTATTCCTGTGAATGAGTAATGACCCTTTTTGACCTTCACTGACAGTTTTTAACAGAAAGTGACCCCATCTACTAACTTGTTATTTTTTAAGACAAGAGGAAAAGGAACGAGGAATATTCAATAAAGGTATATAGGCATACTTTTGCAATGAAATAATTTACCGGTAGATTAGGGGCTCTATTCGATTTTAAAACCCATAAACTTTTTGACATTTACAAATAATATATTTCACTTTTGCAAAGTATGGAAGCCATGAAGTACCTCTTTTGTTTTCATATTTTAAATGTAATTTACTCCTGATGATTTCTAAAATTTTTGATAAATTTTAAACCCCATTCCCCATCTCACACCCATGCTACACCAATAAATGATATACATATGGTCAATCAGTTATCTAAGATACAACAAAATCCTTGCTGTAATCAAACCTAAAAAATAAAACAAAAAACCAAGTCTTACCTCTAAATTTTGTCAAAGTTCATCATCATTTTATAATCCAATAGCTGAATGGTCCAGATTTGAAATGGCTGAGATGATAATTTTCCTAAAAATACAAAACAGAACATCAGCATCACAAAATCTGTGTCAAAACATTTTCCAATATGGCTACTGACAGGCCAGACCTAAAGTTGGTTTAAGAAACTGATTTGTTTGTTCAAGGATTGAACGATTGATGTTCGAGTAGGAAAAGTAGTTTCAGCCACTGAACAAAATGACTGGCCACATATCCCACTTAATTTAATGGCCATATGGAGGGGAATTTTTTACAAACCTGGAGTCCTTTCCGGTTATTGGAAACTGCCACAGCTTATCAGTAGTCAATGTCAATGAGGGACATTGAAATTGAATGAGCAGTAATAAGGAATGCCAGCAAAATATCAATTTCAAAGGATAACAACAGTGTGCAATGGAGGAAAGAATGTAAAATGTTTTGTTGTTTGTAATGTCATGCAGTGTGTAATGAAAGAATGACAGAAAAGCTTAATATTTATTAGTATTGATATAGCCATGCAGTATACAATGAGGAAAGAAAAAAGAAGATGTAAAATATTTGGTAGTAATCTAATGTAAACAAGGAGATCAATAGTTGGACTAGTCTGAGGTATAACGATCATAATATTTAGTAAACATCACCCTGGCTATCAACATTCTTTCATTTCATTGGTTAGCAAACATCACTCTTTGGTTAAAAAATAAAAAAAACGTATTTCAGAAATTTCCGTAAACTATCTGATAGCCTAGCACTATGTGTATCTGTCTTTATATCATGTATTTGAAATAGATATTAAAATTCCAAGATTTGATTGTTAGCAAACATCATTCCTTCTTTTAAGTACAATATTTGAGAAATTTGACCCAAACACGAAAGCAATACAAAAAAACAACTGTGTATAACCAGTATAAAAGAAAAAATCTAAAAAATTTCAACACCAAAACTTTCCAAATTTAGAATAATCACAAATACCAAAGAACAATAATTGTGTCCAACTTCATAAGCAAACACAAAATTCCATTGATACCAACTATAATACACTTTTCAATTTCACAAATTCAGCTTATTTGTAAGAAGTCTAAAAATCAGTTATTTTGTCCTATTTTTCATGTTCCGGTGCATACAAATGTTACCTATTCCAATGCTACAAGCAATCACAAAAAAAACCCATTATAATAACATTGCCTTATTGGAAGCCTAATTACCAACATAATAAGCCTACAGTAATTCTCTATAGCAACATGACAATATTTCTAGTTGACTTCCAGGAATAAACCGGTTCCAACTGTCAGAGATTTGATTAATGACGATTTAGTGCCCTATTTTGATTTATTATGTGACAAGTTCTAAGTCTTCTGTAATCCTTTATCATTAGGTTTATAAACCATGGAACTTAAAAAAAGAAAAGACCATACTTTCAAGAAGAGAATCATCTTATCATAGCTTTCACAGTTTAATCATGACTATTTACAGATTTTCAAAGATCTGGTCTACAAACTGGGCTCTGACCAAATCTCTTGACATTAATCTTTCCCAATGTGATTCAACACCTAATGTGGATAAAGTAAACCCAGGTCCCATCAATTTATTGTGGGGCTATGAGGAATAATCCTGCTGTATAAAATTTGCCTTCCTTAGGTTTTAATATTCAGAATTTTTTATGGGGAGCATCTGAAAGGCTTGGCAAATGCGTCACCTGCTATATTATCCTACAATATAATTTGGCTGTGCCAGACTACCCAAACTTCCATACAATAGAAACTTTTGCAGCCACTGTCAGTATAAGCAGTTAGGGGACATTTAGGTTTATAATAGTATCTTTTTTATTTCATTGTAGACAAACTAGATACTGTACTTTGAAAAGTGTCTCAACTGAATATCCCACGAAGTGTAATCAACTCATTCATGTCTACTGTAATTAATGTGAGTGCCAGGTATCTAAAATCACTTTCTCTTTTGTTGAGATCAAGAAGAACTCATTTTTTAGAACTGAACTGTGTGATTTTTTTTTATCTAGAGCCACTAAATGCAGAGATCAAATTTTCTATTCTGATTCCCCAGGCCACTCAGCTCAATTGTTTTTTTAAAGGGTCAAATGCTCCATTTAAGGGGGTTGATTTCAGTCTTGAATATGTAAATAGACTTTAGAAGTAGCCTGCTAGAAATGTACAAAATCACATAATTCCTTAAAAAATATCTCAAACTAGGAATTTCTTTTCCTATTTCTAAAGATGTCTTTTTTTATATATGGCAGTGTCTCACGAAAAGACTTCTCAAATTTCGACGGTGAGCTGTGAACCTATTTACTGATATTTGATGTGCCTCGATTGGCTTTCTGAGGTGCTACTGTAAACAAAATGTCATCCAGAAGTGAGCACGTAATACGAACATTCTAATGGTTGACTCTTTACTAGGTCACAACAATTTATGGGGAACAAGGTACGTCTGCTGGGACGTGTTTTCATCAAACATGTCAGATATCTCCCAATCACTTCCAAATTTGTCGTAGGGCTGTCATGGCATGGATCAACGCACACAATTTTTCAACTAAGATAGTATCAGCGTCAAAAAAACAAAAAGTATGCCCCAGGTTTAATGTATAATTAGTCAAACAAATGGCTCATCTGTCCCTTTAGCCCTGCTAGTGCTAATACTAATAGTGCTTGTCTGGACTCTTTATTTTCTTTTTTTACAGTAGTCGGCCTGCATTGACAACAAATTGTTAGGGAAATGTATTCCATGTAGCAGAAAATCTTGGCCAAATTCCATTCAGTGAAGGTAAAAAGTTAATTGATTTTCTTCAAGGAATATAAGTTTAAATTTCGTACCATTTTCATTTAACTTCCGCACCACGCCTTCTCCATTATTAAACATAGTCACATGATCATCACGTGATTTGTATATCAAGATGGTGGATAGAATTACAAGTTCGAAAAACGTTTAAAATTTGAATCGATTAAATTCTTATTATTCAAAAACAACAACATTAAAATGGAGGATGGTATGAGAGCAGAAGAAGATATTTTTGATGAGGAAAAGGATGAGAGCGAAATTATCGGGAAAGATTACGCCAAAGTCAAGGAAAAATTGGAAAAGGTTAGTTAGACAATGAATTGGCAACCTAGTTCAAGTAGTAGAATTAGTAGTGTATGGTGGCCCATGAGCGCCATAGCTGTTTTATTATTTCATTTATGAAAAAAATATTCTTTTTAAATTGAATTCATTTTTATTTCACTTTCATTTTGATTTTGAATTCATTTTACTTTCATTTCGTTTTTTATTTTACTTTTATTTTTATTTTACCTTCATTTCGTTTTTTCATTTTACTTTCATTTTGTTTTTAAATTCGTTTTACTTTCATTTCGTTTTTTATTTTCTTTTATTTTTATTTTACTTTCATTTCGTTTTTTATTTTATTTTCATTTTGTTTTTAAATTCATTTTACTTTCATTTCATTTTTACTTTTTATTTCACTTTTGTTTTGTTTTTAAAATCATTTTAATTTTTATTTCACTTTCGTTTTATTTTTAAAATAATTTTACTTTTACTTTCATTTCGCTTTTTATTTTACTTTCACTTTCGTTTTGTTTTTAAAATCATTTTACTTTTACTTTCATTTTCGTTTTAAAAAAAAAATTCTTCTTCATTTACTGCGCCATAGTGTCCAGATTATCCAGTCACACTTTCTATCATCCAAGCAATGACGTCATTGCATACTAGTGTGAGCAGGAGTTATTTCCCTTGTGCTCTTGCGAGTAACCTCCCCCTTAACGGAGCAAATAATTATGTCTAAACGAAAATGGACAGATTTTAAGGCCCAAATTGCTAAACGTAGAAACCAAACTAGTGATGGCGAAACCTTGGAATATTTAACTGTTCAAAGACTCTCAGAACATGTTGAGGGTAAATGTCAAAAATATCGCCGTCTTGGTCCCCTCACAATGGTGGAATTTAACGGGGAGATGTCATTAGATAGCATTAAACTAAGCTGCTTGTCAAAAACATTTTGATATTCCATCTTCTTACAAATGTGATATCATGGCAGGAGATCGAGGGCCATCTTTCTCAAATATTGATCAGATCAGATCAAATCATTTAAATTACTTCACATCAGATTCGTTGAATTTTCTCAGACTGACATGAACACAACAAATGAACATAATAGGAATATGCCTTCTTGTAGTGGTATTTCTACTAAAAAACCTGTCGGCACAAATATTTTGTCAGTTACACCATCAGCACGACCTCAAGCTTTCCCTGCCTCCATTTCCCTTGCAAGCATGCTGAATATTGGGAAATGAATACCCCCAGCACCCATAGATTAAAGATAGCTTGCGTTACAAGGTAACATACGCCCACTGGCAGCTGTCAGAAAAAATAAAACAGTCTTTAGTGACTAAAGTACGAATTTTCTCATATTGAAGAAATCATTCATGCTGAATAATTCCACAAATTTTTTTAAAATCAATATCAATAACCCAAATACAACAAACAATTAAATCACACAGCTCTAATCCAGGGCAAAAAACAACTTTTAACGCGTTTTTCGTAAGTTAATGGCATTAACTCAAAAACATTTCATCGAAAATGCGTCAAGTTAGAACCTGTCCGAGATCTTATCAATTTCAATGATCACACCAAGTTTCATCAGAATCGGTTGAAAACTGTAGCTTCAATCCTGCCCACAAACTATTTTTAACAAATGTTGACGTGTTTTTACAAAGTCAAGGGCAATAACTCAAAAACCGTTCATCGAAAATGTGTCAAGTTAGAACTTGTCCGAGATCTTATCAATTCCAATGATCACACCAAGTTTCATTAGAATCGGTTGAAAAGTGTAGCTTCAATCCTGCTCACGAACTATTTTTAACAAATTTTGACGCCTTTTAACAAAGTCAAGGGCAATAACTCAAAAACCGTTCATCGAAAATGCGTCAAGTTAGAACTTGTCCGAGATCTTATGAATTCCAATGATCACACCAAGTTTCATCAGAATCGGATGAAAACTGTAGCTTCAATCCTGCTCACGAACAATTTTTAACAAATTTCAAGGCGTGCTAAGTCAAGGGCAATATCTCAAAAGCCGTTCATCGAAAATATGTCAAATTCGAACTTGACCGAGATCCTATCAATCTAAAGCATCACACCAAGTTTTATAAAAATCAGATAAAAACTGTAGTCTCTATAGTGCTCACAAGAAATGTTGACCGACGGACGGACGGACCGACGGACAGGGGCGACGACAATATACGACCACATATTCATGTGGGCGTATAAAAAGGAGAGTTTAATTCTCGCACGACCTCATTCAAGGGGAATTACTCTAACACTTGGATGATAGACAAAAGTGTGACTGGATAATCTGGACACTATGGCGCAGTAAATGAAGAAGAATTTTTTTTTAAAAACGAAAATGAAAGTAAAAGTAAAATGATTTTGAAAACAAAACGAAAGTGAAAGTAAAATGAAAAGTGAAATGAAAGTAAAAGTAAAATTATTTTAAAAACAAAACGAAAGTGAAATAAAAAGTAAAATGATTTTAAAAACAAAACGAAAGTAAAATAAAAAGTAAAAATGAAATGAAAGTAAAATGAATTTAAAAACAAAATGAAAGTAAAAATAAAAAACGAAATGAAAATAAAACGAATTTAAAAACAAAATGAAAGTAAAACGAATTTAAAAACAAAATGAAAGTGAAATAAAAAACGAAATGAATTTAAAAACAAAATGAAAGTGAAATAAAAATGAATTCAAATTCAAAAGAAAGGTATTTTCATAAATAAAATCATGGGCCACCATAGTAGTGCAAGCAATGTGGCAAAGCTTTCCCAATGCCATTTGAATCCTGATATTTGATGGTTTTCATCTAGAATGCATTTATTATTTTAAACCAACAACTTTTAAGCCAAACCACAGGAACAGATTCATCATTTTCATCTAAATCGTACCTTTTTAGTCTCAGAAACGAGAATATGTCATTTCATATAAGATTACAAGGGATAAGTTATGTTATTTCCTTAAAGGGATAGATTCGCCTTTTTCAGGGGTTGAAAATCCCAAATTACCTTCAAAAATGTACCTCAAACTAGGAATTTTACTTTCTACATTATAATATCTTTTGAATTAGATTTAGGCTACAGTCTCAAGAAAAAGACGAGACATCAATTCAACTTTCAAATGCAGATAATACACATGGATTTGTTGGCTCAAATTTCTATGGTGAACTGTGACTACTATTACTGATTAGTTGAGCTAAAAAATTCCCGTATATGAGACTAATAGCAATATTGATTTATGTCATGATGTCTTGTTATAAGTATTTCTGGTCAAATTTAAGCAATAAGTTGTTAAGCTGATATCAGGACAAAATTTGGCTGGAAAATGATGTAAATGTCTGTTAATGATTAATTTTCCAGCCAACCTATCTCCTGATTACATAAATGCCATAGGGTAACAGTTTCTTGGTGACCTTAACCCCTTCATTTTATAAGCTTATGTTTTGAACTTCAATTTTTAGGAAGGATATTGTGAAGGTTTAGAACATGGTCACGGCACAACAGTACAACATAGTTTTAATGTAGCCTATAAATACACTGCTAGAAAAATGGTTCGATTTTCAGAAATCAAAGGTCGTGTCAAGTAAGTTGATTGATGTTTTGAGTGTATGTGAGAGGTACTTGCCAGTCACAATGGAAACCGTCATGCCTTAAAAATGAGATATCAGTGGTATGCTTGCCAAATGAGTTAGTTACTTTTCTGGTTCATTGTTTTTAATTATAGACAAACCAGACATATATTATTTTTGAAAAGAGATACCGGGTACAGATAGTTGAAAAAGTTTTCTGCACATGAAATTTTAAACCATAATTCTTTGAAGTTAAAATTGAAATATTTAAGTTTGATTACAAACAATGAAGGATGGTTAGAAGCCAATGCATTAAAATTTCACCATTGTATTTTTTTTTCAGTGCTATTTTATCAGTTTTACATCTCAAACCAGAATCTGTCACTCCAGAGAGGAAAGAAAATTTAGAAAATCTGCTTTCTCAAGTTGCTAAATATGAGGACAGTCTAATAAAGAGACTCAAGGAACCTAAAAACGCGAAAATAATCGTCCAGGATGATGTGGTGGATAATATTATACCTGATACAACTAGTAGTATGTATGTAGAGGATGATTTGTCTGATTTTATTGGAATAAAGTCTGACGCTAGCAGCGATTCTGAGGGAGTCTTCAGCACAGAATCCCGTGACAATTCACTCTCCAGACAGCAAGATTCCCCCGTTGCTTCCAACAACAAAAAAATGAAATTGACGGAAGCCAAAGTTGGTGATTCTCAGAAACGTTTCAATCCTTCCACAAGCGAGAAAAAACAATTGGACGTTATCTCTCAAGAAATTGACTCGGAAATTTCAAAATTTGAATCTGCTTTAGAGAGTTTGCTGTTAAATTGATTCGGTGATGGTGTTGGATAGAAATTTTAGCATTTCCAATCAAAACAGCTCAGCATTGCTTGCTTATATGGATATGAAAATCTCATTAAAGGAATATAAACTGGTAGATTTTTATATCAGCTATGTTTAGAAATGTCTTAATATTGCTCTACAAACAGGAATAAATGTCCATCAACTGATAAAGCAAATAATTAGATTCCCAATTGACCTATTTTCTATACCATGCATTCATTTTTTATTTCATATTTGTTACTGGATACATTATATTTCATTTGCTATCAGAATATACCCTTAATGTCTTTTTTTTTTCTGGTGTCACGTTATTCCCTTTTTTATCTGAAGCCACCAAGCTTTGCAGGTCAAATACAGTTCTTATCCCTTGAATCTACATACCAAGCAAGACTATTAATTCCCATTATCCCAGGGAAATTTGACCCTTCAATCTATTTGAGTAATGTATTATCTGCGTTTGAAAGTTAAAAGACAAGTCTTCTTTACCTAAGACACTGCCATATATAGAAATTCCTAGTTTGAGACATTTTTATTGAATTGTGCTTTTTTGGTACATTTCTAGTACTTTTGAAGACTATTTTTTATATATACAGTGGTGTAACTTATTTTTGTGGATATAAGGATTCAACACCGAATTTCGTCAAAGTTAAAAAAACAAATTTTTTTTTATGTCTTAGATGTTTCCTCAGATATTCTACAAAATAATTAATTAAAATTGGTTTATTTATTTGTATATTCAAGACTCAAATCAACCCCTAAAAAATGAGGCACCTGTCCTTTTAAGAAGCATTGCTACCCTAGTATTTTGCTCACTCATATCCTCCTAAATGTGATCTATGTCTTGAATGTCATTTTTGTCGCCCCTTTTCCTTTTTAGTTTTTATTTTTTTGGTCAGTTAAAATGCAACACAGCCTATTTCTTATAAAAATTTGTGCCTTTGCTTTGACCTTGCCTAATGATATATCATATTATATGTTCTAATTTTATTTATTTTGTTCGAATGCGATTTTGTAATAAAAGATGTTTTTTTAAAACTTTTTATGTGTATCAGGGACACTGATAGCATCAGTATGCACCATTCCTTAGCAGCTTTTGCAATTATTGATGTTTTAGTGGAATTCCAAGAGCCAGACACCTGCTACACCTACACATGCTATCAATGTCCCAATACACATAAAAAGTTTAGAAATCCTTTTTACAACCCCTTTAAATTAAGCTCTGCATGTTACGGCACCCTTGACAGTAGGCTGCCTTTCTGCCAAAGTTACCCTATTGTATACAGCATGGCATTGCCAGTCTTTATAAGTCAAATCAGGTTCAGTGAAGTGGCAGGGAAAATCTGATTTCTACATTTGTATCTTGATTTCTCGACACAACCCTTGATACAGCTAATCCATTTCTACAGAAAATGGAAATCTCAATGAAAACAACACATGTAGAAAAAAAAACAAATTTATAAGAAGATCACTGCTTACTATATGTTATTATAATATTCCTTGAAGGCTCTGACAATATCTCATTCCTGATCAATAAGCCCAGTATAATTTCTGTTTTGAAATGCTCTCTGATTTGCAACTTTAGGACTGATCAAACCATTTTTCAACAGTAAGATACTCCTAGTAGTACTCTAAGACAAAATGTTGTGAATTGCTTGCAATGAACACAGATATATCGGATTGCATTGTTTATATTAAAAAACACTTCACTTTTAAATTGTGGATTAAGTAGGTACCCCCAGGGCCTTAATAGAGAGGTTTTCTAGCTTTTGTTTGTGTATTTGTCCATTTATTGCAACTATTTGCAACAGCTTCTGTGGGATGTCTGGTTCCTGTAATTAGGGAAAATACTTAACTCTTACTAATAATATATTGACCTTGATTGCTACATCATAAAATGCTTAGTTTCATTGGACGCAAAGATGTCCGTCTGAAAATTGGAATGGCTTATATCAATGATACCAGTGTCCTAGATACACATAACAAGTTTAGAAAACCTCTTTAGAATCCCTTTATAGTTCAAATGGCCATTTATTACACTGTAATCCTACACAGGTGCCCATCTTTTTTCAAATGTAATGAAGGTTTTCAGTGAGATATTGCCATTAGCATTAAAATGTAACAAAACCTGCCAAAATAAACTTTTTAAGAGTTGTTGTCCCAAAATTACAGAGTATATTTTGGCAGGTATCGCTGAAGATCATTATTTAATTCAGTCATGATAGTAACATAGCACTTTATTTCATCACAGGGGAAGTAACTCTTAAATCTTAAAGAGCAGAATGAATATTACAATGAAGGGAAATAGTCGTCCGAAAATTTTCATTAAAAGCTAAATTATAGCTATTTATGTATAGTCATCTAAATAGATAGTTCTAACAAGTGGTAAAGTAAATATTTAGACAACTAAACAGATAGCTGAAAGTGAGCTCTATCAGCCAGTTAAACAGATATTAAGATGACTATACAGATAGCTGAGTTGAGTTCAATCAGCTGATAAAGTAAATAAACAGACATCTATATCCCTTCAAGACAGGGGAACTGATATGTTCAATATTCATCCGAACCATACTTATCATAAACTATTATAATAAAATTTTTAGTATCCCTTCCAGAGAGTTCACATTGCTAATAAAGTTTATTGGGTTTTTGGGATTGTCAATTCAATCTCATTCAGAGATTTCAAGCAACTTATATAGTTGATTAGGTATTTGGGTTTATCAAATTATCATCCACCAATACACAGGATATTTGTGATTCAGGGTTACAACTCATTTAGAGGGTTCACACAACATGGTTTGTTAACTCCTTTGTTGGTATTCCATCTGGAGAGTCCACATATTAATATGTTACAATGTTTTTGTATTGGGAGTTTGTCGATCCCGTATCTCCTTTAGAAAATTCATGAACAAAAATATTGTTGCACAGATTTGTTATAAAAAGAAAAAGCAGATCCATGAATGTTGATACAATGAGATATCCTTCACTTGGTTTTGGTGGTTAGTCTGCTAGATATTATGAATATAACCAGGCGCATCCTAGCCCCTTAGGTTGAGGTTGTGTAACACATAGACCCACCCTCTGTCAGTTAAAATATATAAATTAATCTTACACTTTCTCAGCCCTAGTTTCAGGCCCTCTTACCTTAGGCTGTTTTATTAATCACTTCATACACTGATCCAGAAACCACCCTGAGGCCCACTCCCTCCGCTTGGGCTGAATAATTAAAACCAAAGCCCAAGGCCCCCTTCAACACTGTCAAATTATAATCACATGACAGTGCATGACACAGTATCAAATTATAAATCATGTTGCCCTGCCCCTGGGTAAAGTATTTATATCACATGTGGACTTACCCAGCCCAACGACCTTCCCCTGGGTCAAATAATCACATTAGGCTACATAACTATATTCATCAGTAGAGTTAGCAGTTCGTTCTAGATATTGTTTGTCAATCAGAGTTTCTATACATTTTTTTATCATACTGATATTGGGTGTAAACCGTGAATTTGACTGGCTAATCACCTGAAAAGAATAAAAATTTAAATTCAAAATAAATCCACTTTGAATCACACATTTTGAGGGTTTGGTGATTCAAGTAGATTTCACAATACTTTGTGGAAGCTATTATGCTTTAATTACGTCATATTTATCAACATATGACTGAAGTCAGCCATTGATCCATCATATTTACTAAATGCAGTTGCCATACATGGGGTGAAAATATATCTGCCACCGACTGACTGAACTGACTTTTATTGTGAGTAGGTTGCTACCAAATTTCTTAACATGTTTGGTGACTGTTATTAATCGATACAACAAACCAATAGTGGAGACACAGGCTTAATTTTTCTTAATAATTAATTTTCTTTTTAATGAAACACTAGCTTTAACCCTTGTTGAAGGAGTCATGATTCTGAAAAAAAAAAAAAAAAAAAATTGTGTTTACCTCGTTAATTAACAACGTATGTTTTAAAACTTTCCGTGATTTCATAACTCTTACGATAGCTGCCTGTAAATACATCTTACGATCTTCATCTACCGTTTGATGAGTCATTTCTACCTCCTACAAATAGAGAGTTACAACACTACATATAATAGTCTTCCATTCCGTCTAAAATTAACCCATTGGGATGTGTTGGAGCTATTGTCACTTCGGTCAAGATATAATATAATAATAAATAAATCCACTGGTTAAATTTGTAGATTTTTTCTAGTCTAGCGGTAAGTCCAAGAGGACCAAATTTTTGTTAAGGACGAGAATTAATGGAGAGTTTCTGATGATGATTTTTTTTTCATCTGGATTTATTCCCAGCAGAGCTAGGATCTGTAAAACAAGAAAAAATATTGGTCTGACCTTTAGTACACATACAAAACGCTAGGAAACAGGCATAGTATATATATTATTTTAGATAGAGTGGACTACTGATAGAAACAGTTGCCTGTGTAGGAAACCCTTTTCAATTCCTTTTAGTGTTTGAGAATTTTGAAAACTGTATCTTTATTAAAAGCTTGTGAAATTACAACTTACATAAGGAGAATCTTTTTGAGTGGCGACTGAAATTTTAAATTTTGTTCGTTTATTGGAGTAATCTGGATTTAATCTGAATGTACTCTCATCTTCTATAGATCCCTGAAACACATATAAAATACAGCTTGTTTAAAAAGAGCTAAATTTCAGCTAAATGTAAAGTCTTCTAAATATTTGCTTCACTAGCTAATGGAACTTAATTTCAGCTGTTTGTATATTCATCCAATTATTTTCTTTACCAGCAATAAAACTCAATTTCAGCTGTTTGTTAAGTTATCTATATATTTGCTTCATTAGCTAATGAAACTTAATCTCAGCTGTCTGTATAGTTGACTTCATATTTACATAGCAGAGCTGGATTTCAGCTATCTGTATATCAAATTCACTTCGCAAATTCGGCTGTTTGTATTTATGTCCAAGTATTTAATTTACCAGCTTATAGATCTTAATTTCAGCTATAAGTGTATTTGTCTAAATATTCTTGACCAGCTGATAGAGCTCAATTACAGATTATACCCCATCTTCACAATGTCAAGCTATTATGAAATGTGAATATGACTATACCCTTCCTCAAACTCAAGCTTTTCTTTTCATAACTCCACCCAATTCCTATCTAACCCTGCCTCTTCCAAATTATAACCCACAGCAATGAGTGTCAGTAGAAATTTCATGAATTCTTTTTCGGGTATATTCGTCATAAAGCTCCACCCCTCACTCTTTCAAACTCCACCCTTTCCCTCACTCTTTCAAACTCTACCCCTTTTTAAGAACATTCCCCTACCTGCGTGGTCAATATTTTAATATCAATGAGAGACTGTAGAAATTTTGTCAATTCTTTTTCTGGTATATTGGTCATTAACTGCATTTCTTTAAAACTCAGGACATTTCGATTGTTATATATTAATAATATTGCCATGTGAGCCGTTCCCATGGTAACAAAATATGTCTTCTTGGTAAAGTTGAATTTCAAATCACCTGAAAAATACAAATGCTATAAATTGATATTGAATATATTAATACTGAAGTTCTTTGGTATGCTCTGCCTCTGCTAGTAACAGTTAATATAGTAATTATATTAGTTCAATTTCATGCTTCATTTAAGACTAATAAGATGGGAATGAAAGAATAAAGGAAAACTGAATATCAATGAATGAATGAGTGAATAACATGAGTGAATAAATGAATAATTGAGTGAATGAAGAAGGAGAAAAATGGGAATGACACGTAAAATAAAAGTACTGGCCTGTACAGAAATTATGCATCCAGGAGAGTTTTCTACCACTAAATTTACTATTATAAAAGCCTTCAAACTGCAATATAAAATAGTAAAGTAGGAATGAATTAATGAGAAATGTATCAAATAAAAAGATATTAAAGGCCATTGTTCGCCATTTCCGGGGGTTGATATGGGTCTTGAATTTATCATGTAAATAATGTTCAGAAGTACTAGAACTGCAGGAAATCACATAGTTTCTTAAAATATACCTCAAACTTGAAATTTCACTTCCTATTTATGTATTTGACTTTCCTACATATATGAGAGTATCAAGAAAAGATGAGTCATCAATAAGACAGATAAATCTGAAGGCTCATATTTCGATAGTGAGATGTGAACACTATTAAAGTTTTTACTGATTAGCTTAACTAAAAATTTCCCTCTTCTGTGACTAAAGAACAATTGGTCAAGCAGTTGACAAACTGTCCCTTTAAATAAATCAAGTTTTACATAATCTGAAATCTGATTTTTCAAAAATATATCATTCAGTTTTATATCTGCTTTAAAATATCAGGCATGAATATACCAAGAAAATGGGCACATACTCCTAACAAGATATTTCTACTTACTCTTTTGATACTTTTCTCTAATTCCGAAGGAAAGTGAAAGGTTAAAATATTTTGACCCAATGGCCAGGCTCCTGCCTGAAAAATAAACACCATAAAAATGTGATCTATTATTTAATGTGATCTCTTTCAAACGAAACTGGAACTTAATCTATGCAATGGTGCCCAAGAGCTAAATCAATTGAATGCTACCCAAGAGCTAAATCTATGTCATTATGCCAAGAGCTACATATATCCCTTGTTGCCAAAGAGCTACATCTACACCTTACTGTGTTTATGACTTATTGCCCTAGACCTAAACCTATGTCATATTGCCCGCCCAAGAGATAGATCTATGCCATGTTGCATAAAAGCTAAATCTATGCAATGTTGCCCAAGAGCTAATTCTATGCCAGTATGTTACCAAAGAGCTAAATCTATGCCAGTGTGTTGCCCAAGACTGAAACCTACGTCATGTTGGTCACAAGCTCAATCTATGTTAGTCCAATTCATAATTGTGGGCATTTAAAAAATAATCTCACTGACCTGTAAAATTAGAATATTCAAATTGACCCCAGTATGTAAATTATCCCGTTTGACGACATCGTGAAACTGGGAGCTAAGTTCCATACTAATACTCATATCAGTAAACATTCTGTGAAGTTTATTGGTGAACTCGTAACCACAAGCTTGCTGAAATTAAATCAGATGGAGTTTTACTTTTATTTTCTAGCTGTCCAAATTTTCAAGATAATTTTATGATTATCTAGCTCCTCTCTCCAGCTTTATTCAGTTAGGGACAATTGTTAGGATGGTTTCCAAATATTAAGGATGTTTAGCCTGTGACACCTCAACTGGAAACTATTTTGAAAACCGTGGCTTCATGCTTACTTAGTAAAATTGACATATCCTGTACAATTGCAATAACCTTCCCTTCAAGGCAAAATTTTAACGCCACACTCTGTTTTGTGTCTTTGTCAACCCCTCTAACACTGTCAATATTTACCTTCAGCCTGTTGATGAGGGATTCTTCAGCATCCATTGATGTTGATAAACCATAAATTAATCTTTTAGCTAACATACGCGAGTAAAACTACAAATACAAAATTCCTGATCATTTTTTTTTGGGAGTAAAATTACCAGCACAAAATTCTTGATCCTTATTTTTTTTGGGAGTGAAACTACCAGCACAAAATTCCTAATTCCTGATCCTTCTTTTGTTTTGGAGTGAAACTACCAGCACAAAATTCCTAATTCCTGATCCTTCTTTTGTTTTGGAGTGAAACTACCACCACACAATTCCTGATCCTTCATTTTTCTGGGTGTGAAACTACCAGCACAAAATTCCTAAGAACTGGTATTTCGATATAGCCTACAGTGATCAACTAGATGGTCACAGATTTTCACAGATCATGACAGCATTGTAGTCAGATAATCATAAAACACAGTAACTTACCCTTTGAAAGATATCTTTATCATCAAGATATTTAAAAATAGTGATGGAGGAAGCCAACTTATCATCTAGTTCTGTTTCTGAGATACCTTTCGAACTTTTCCTTAACAAACTATCACAGTATTTAGATAACTGAAATAAAACAAAACATTAAACACCTGATTAAACAACTTCGATTGGGTGTGTCATCTCAAAATTACCTTCTGCACAGAAAGATTACATAGCTCATCTTATTTTTAATTTTGTTTACTCAGCATCATTAGCAGAGAATATACATAGCTTATTATGTTAATTTGGTATTTGAGTTTGTAAACATAATGTGAATTATAGATGTATTATATTTAGAATAATTTTCTGAGAGTCCACTATCAAATAATATAATAAGTTAAAGTATACATACCAATTCAGGAGATTTACAAACTGATTTGGGATTTAATCTATAGTTAATAACATGAGCACATGCCTGGAAAATAATACAAGTTATTTTACAATTTCCAACTGTCAAAGGAAATTTAAAAGGATAATACCCCTTAGAATTAACATAAAATATATAATGTATATATTCATCAGTTGCCAGGTACCATGACTAAAGAATAGAATCTCTATATAAGATGGTATATCCATTAAACTAAATAATTATTGAAACATGCTTCTCATCATGTTTTAAAATTACTTAGTTTAGTGAATTATTATTTGGTTTATAGATTAATTGGATTATAGAGGGATTCTGGACATGTAAGTCTATTGATGAACAAAGACTCATTTTAACCAAGTTTAAAATTTTCTGGTCATCCTATGATGTAATATACCTTTAAAAGGAATGAAAACAGGTTTTATTCCACCTTTGCTTTATAACCATGGGATTGTTGAGCATGCACTTATCTTGTGCAGTCCCCAAAATTTCAACCTGAGAATGCTTATACTTCCTACCTTATCTAGAGCACCAACAAACTGTTGATCACCATTAAAAACATTTTTAATCATATCTTTATATCTATTGTGAACTTCTAACATAGACTCTACAAACTGACTGGGGATCTACAATATACAGATAATGAATGAATGAAATGACATATCATTTATGAACTGTCAAAAAAGATTCTACCATCTGACACATTATATACATTAGAGTGAATAATTCAACAAATCCATGAATAAAGGAATGAGAATGAATGCATGAGAATGAATAATAATAATGAGAATGAACTAACAAAAAAACGAATGATCACCTGCATCTAGGCACAAGACATTCATTGGCCTCAAAATTAGAACAGGAACCAAATTTCAAAAATCATAAGGAGGAACCACATAAAAGAATAGTTGAATACATACATTGTCCCCTTTGACATTTAGAACAGCGTCAAGTCCAGTTTGTTTAATAAATTCTTCAACTTGTTCTACCAGTACACCTAGACCAGATTGTATGGGTCGGAGTAACATATACATATTGGTTAAATCTACAAAAAGTACATAGGTACATAAGAAGAATTGAGTACCCCTCATAATCCAATCTCAGATAATTCATAATCTAATCTCAGATAATTCATAATCCAATCTTAGATAATTCATAATCTCAGATTATTCATAATCCAATCTCAGATAATTCATAATCTTAGATAATTCATAATCTAATCTCAGATAATTCATAATCCAATCTCATATTCATAATCCAATATATAATTAATTATCCAATCTCAGTTAATTCGTAATCCAATCTCAGATAATTCATAATCCAATCTCAGATAATTCATAATCTAATCTCAGATAATTCATAATCCAATCTCAGATGGGCATTGATAATCTGGGAAAAATCAACTCAGTGTTAGTTTCAGAGAGTCCTCATTGATAATGACATTCTTTCCAATGTACTGACCTTTTCGTTTCTCATTTTGAACCATTTCTCGACATTCACCATGTAAAAATTGTAGATGATCTGCTACAGCTCTCTGTTGACATTCCTGTGTAACTTTAGTATATGACGAAGGATGGAGAAATTTTCTACTGCGGAAATCTTCTGTATCAAGTTTCTGAATAATCTAGAAAAGAAATTTACCGGACTTAGTATGGGGACAGTTTGTAATTAAGTACCTTTTACATTAATAAAATATCAATGATTTGGCATTGTTCAGTTTAGAGAAAATTGAATTTTTTTATATTTTTGATAGGGTTCCTCCTTGATTACTTATGAACAAGTTTTATTAAAATTCAAGAATAATTTAGCCTTTATCAATGTTCTAACAGCTAAAATTTGAAAGTGTTTTGAAGAATAAGCATAATAACCCATAGCAAATAATTTAGAATTTTTTTATTTATTTTCAATAGGTTTAAACCTAGGGTGATAATTAACAATATTATCAAGTTTACATAAAAGTTTTGTGTATTAAAGCGTTTACAGGCAATAGTGGACAGACCGAAAGAGGTGATGCTCATATGGGAATGTCGGTGCTTTCACTCATTGAATAACGTCAGTCCACTACCCCCCCAGAACCATTCTGACAAATGTTTGATACCTTTTCCATGTACTCTGAACAGGAACATTCATCTTTCAACTGTTGAGCTTCCTGTTTATAGTATTCTCCAGTTTCCTGGAGGAATGGTGCTTCAAATGCTGTTTCATAGTACTGAAAAGAAAATACATTGTACTTTTCTGCTCCTGTTTTGGACTAATGGAAGTTTATTGAGTTAAAATGTCTCCTGTTCAGCACCGGTTTGTGCTACTAAAGCCATACAGTGTGCAATGATAATTTTCAAAGAGATAGAAGCACTTATTTGTACTACACTCTTTTGACTTCCCACTTTCAAGGGATCTTAAATTAACAGTTCAAAAAAATCCTGACATTCTTTCACTGATGGCTAAAAAAAATAAAACGATTCCAAAGATCAAGAGAAATAACTCTTACCTGCATTGGATTTTTCCTCTTGTATTCTTCAACATTAACAAATGAATTGATGACACCATGTATGACTGTTTGATTCACACTCACTCCCTTCCGATCTCTAAAATACAAATATTGGTCTGTTTAACACAAGACTTTCTTTAGTCTGACACAGCTAATAATACACATCTGAGTCTGCTTCCTATGATAAACACCAGCAATCCACTTTATTTTTAAGAAGTTTAAGTTGTTGACAACACTTTATATTTCTGATTGTCAATTGTTGCCTAAAGTGTACAGACTGTAACACAGAAAGACTTGGTTGACAGTGCTATCTTAACAAAGCCCCTCCTGCTTTACCTCGGCTCCCTGTACCTTTAAGAGAGTCCACATAACTAATATGATAAGCCTACCTTTTGACCTCCTGTAATATTAAACTAATCAACTGTGATTTAATGGGTTCAATCATCACACGTTTCCAGATATCTAGCGCCAACTGAAATAGTCAAATAATATTGTAAACAGATATACTATCAAACATTAGTATTTAGATGTGAAAGCTAACATGAGCTGACTGAAGCACTGGCTGTGACTTTTCTGAAGGAGGATTCACACCCAGGAACCGAATCTAATTACCTACAGACAGATCAATTCCCATTCTTTTTTTTAGCAAAGTTTCTGCTATGTTATGTGATAACAGTAACTCTAACTATTAAAAATATTATCAAGATCAAATGATAATATGGTTGATTGAGAATATCTTCAAAGTGCTAAAATCAAGTCAAGATCTCTCATGAAAAATTTCCAACAAGTGGGATAAAAATGATCTAAGGTGTCGGTATCGATCTGAACCAGAGCCTTAATAAAGCTGTGTCAAAACCTTCTTTTTTCCACATTTCTGATGCCAATACCAGTGATGTCAAGACCAAAACCTTACCTCGCCTATTTCTAACATTTGATCCACCGGGTCGACAGTAAAGCCTCCATAATTCAAATCAGCCTCACTATGTTTCTGTTTCTTAATAAATGTAGTGTTCAAATACCTGAAAAACATAGCAGAGAGGAATCAGAAATTTGTTATCTGATTTACAAGATTGGCTTACTTGGATTTAGCCTGGGAAGCAAAGGTTATTGCCTGAATTTTACTTGGTCACTAAAAACAAAAAACATTTTAACACTGTTGTACATAGGAAAAACTAAAGTTGTAAGTTCCTTAAACTGGACAGCTTCTAGCTACTTCACAACAGTCCAATAAAACTATTCCAGGAAAGGAAAGGTTCAGTAACTTCTAGTTCTATCTACTTGACAACTGACAACAATAGCTAGCAGAGTTTGGGTGCAATGACTAAATAGTAGAATCTCTATAAAAAACGATATATCCATTAAACTAAATAATTATTGAATAACACTTCTAAGCATGTTTCAAAATTACTTTAATTAATGAATCATTATTTAGTTTTATAGATTTATTGGATTATAGAGGAATTATTTTGTATAATTTTGACAACCGGTAAGTTCATTTTGGCCAAGTTTAAAAATTTCAATTTTTTGGTCAACCTAAGATTTTATATATCTTTAAGACAAACCTACCCATAAAGTTGATTAAGATAGCTGGAACCTCGACTGTATTCTTCCCAGTTTTTATGATAAATTGACAACAAACTTTCATCTCCATTACCTACCACACTCTGAAAAACAACCAAATTCAAATAATAATTCAAATATAAGATATAAGCTCATCCAAAAAAGCTAGTTAGTTTCTTTTACAGAGTTCACATAACTTATAATATTTATATGGTATTTGATTTTGAACTTGGCATCACTTGCAGAGTGTCCAGATTTTGTCATTAAAATGTAACAAACTTAACCTACCTGATTCAGCTCTGAGACATGATTCTCTAAAAATAGTTTAGTCTCCTGGTAAAGTTTATCTCCAAGAGGTTCTGGACATGCCACACATAATTTATATACATCTGTACAAACAGGGTTAAAGAAAATGACATAAAATTTGAGCTCAAGATGAACACTTTCTCCATATTTTTACAAAAATTCAGATTTAGTTGATTTTAGTGCTTTTTCTGCCAGTAAATACATATATTCTCCTTGATCTGAAAAAATTCTTTATAAAATACGTTTGGTAATATCTTTCCAAGCAGCATCAAAAGTTGAAAGTGGGGCTTACAATACAAATCAATGTTTAATGATTAATATCTAAGAGCATATAATTTGTTTAATTTTATTTGACCCAGAACATGAGATGCATAACAATTTCAACAGATCATGGATTGCATGTGGAGTCACACAAATGAATGATCCTGATTTGCATTAATCAGATTGCGCAAATATAGTTGTGGCAAGCATTTCTTGAATGAACCAGAATGGATGTTCTAAAATTTCTACAAATATCTCGACAAATTTGTCACTTTCTGCATTTCTTCCATTTATTTCAAACTTCAATGACTGCAAAGATGGCTATTGATCTCAAACCATATAAACTCAGTGACTTTAGTCAACATTAGAGGAATTCACAATTACTCAAAAAGACAGTAAACACCATGCAGTGGAGTGGGCAATCAAAAATTCCTGGTCAGTAGGCACTAAGTACTAACATTAGTTTTATGTTTTTATGAAAAGGATATGAAAAGCGATCATTCCAAACATGTCTTGGAACTGTACCACAAGTTATCACCCCTTTGATAGTCCCCAACAAAACATTCCAGGTCTCTTCAAAATCTACTCTTCTTGGTTTCAACGACATCGCTTCCTGTTCATAAATAAATAGAGGTAAGATTATAAAAGGATAGAATACGGTACAAGACAATTCATACCACAGTAAACTAGAGAACGAATTGGTCCTGTGATCTTTGTCTTTTTTGAATGATAGGCCTAATGCAAGTCTAAATTTTTTAGACTTGCATCATTTATTTAGTAAATAGTGCTAGGCTAGATCTAACTCCTCAAACTGTCAGAAACTAAATTCCAGAAAAATTTATGTTAGAGATCAAACACAACTGAAACAGCAGTGATACATAGTCAACAAAATGGACTATATTAAAGTAAATTAATGGAAAACCTTAAAGACTCATTAATCAAAGTGCTAATTGTGTTGCTTTGGTTTCTAAGTCAACGTTAATCTTGTTGTTTCACTTCAATCCACTTTCTCGCAAAACTTCTCCGCCATTGTTGTGTGTCAAACATGGACACGGATTTCATTTTGTAGACTACATCACAGGCGTTCGCTGTAAAATCAAGCAGACGATATGAAATGGACAGGCAGTTAGATATTACAGAACTGTTGTCCCAAAAACAACAGTTTTTATACTTCTAAATGTCTTACAAGGATAACTATTGTCCATTTTAAAGAACAATATAGATGCAAATGACTCAGCTCGATCATCTACCGTATTATCTTTTTCAAAGATGAAATGTGTCACTTTGAATGGCAATCAACTCAAAACTTATTCTGATTGAGTTTCTTTACATCCTTGGCCTACCCTGGAATAGGTTTGACAAAAAGTTTTGGGTTATGATTGTTTTACAGTTTGAACAGGTCAACTTATCAAAATTATGTTCCGAGATTTAGACGAATTGCAGCCTCTCATTTGTGAGATCTCAGATCATTCAAGTAATTTAGTGCTCCCGGTTCTAAATATTTGCTTTACCTGATTTCCTTCACCCATTTCACCCTCAGATTCATATTCCAATGCCAGTTATGGTTGAATTTTAAGAGAACCGAACATTATAATTCTTAATATGATCAAGATGACATCTCTATCAATGATAAAGAAAACATTCACACTACTATATCACTTTTGTCTACAAGATAAAAAAAATATATATATTTAAAAGGGGTCTAGCTCACCATAGAAATATTCCACTCTAATTTTGATATCTCTCGGTCATTTGCATCCAAAATTGTGTATTGTATATTATCTTTGATTTTTTACTTTTTGATCAATATGGGTTCGTCCGTTGTTTCACCATTTAAGGCGAATGCCTTTGGGACTCGAAATTCCAAACACCAGAATAACACTAAACCCAGCTGACAGCCTCGATTGAGATGACAGGTAATGTCTTAAACGTGCAGAAAATATTTTGTTTTTAGTTCCATTTTTGTCGATTTTCATTAAATATTATACTCTCTGCTCTTTACTGACTTTAAGAAGATCTTGGCCGGAGCTTGGTACGTCAAAACTTTTTTCCCGATCTCTCGAACTTATATTCAGATTATAGAAAAGTTCAGCGATTCCATACATGAAATGATGGTTTTTGAACTGGGGGTTGAGGGAGAAGCGATTGATTGAATTAGCTTAAAAAGATACTAGCCTACATCTTGAATTGAACAAAGTAAGCATATTGCGAATGAAAATGTTCCGACTTATTAAGCAATGTTGAAATTTTAAATTTTACTTATCTTTTTAAGAGGTAGACCTACAGGTAGTACAGTAGTGTAACCTATTTTCGTGGATATAAGCATTCAACACCGAATTTCGTCAAAGTTAAAAAAACGAAATTTCTTTTTTATGTCTTAGATGTTTCCTCAGATATTCTACAAAATAATTAAAATTGGTTTATTTCGATTGTCTTTATGAATCCTTCACTTTGACCCATATTTCATGAGCAACCAACTCGGCAACGGCGGCAGAATGCGTCACCTATTTTCGTGTACAATGTTTGATCTATAAATAAGTCTATAAAAACACATTGTATGGATACCGGGTGGTATAATTAACTTCTCTTAGTATTTATCTGTAATATCAATTCATTATAACTAGTGACAATTCCTTCAAAGAACCATGTTTTAAAAAAAAATAGTGACTGACAAAATAAGATATTTATTGCTAAAAGTCACTGAAACAACATAAGAATATGGTCCACTTTGTGTTCCATAGAAATTTTCTGCTGACACGGAATCCGCGTTAATCACATGACTTCATTCGTTGGACTACATTCTAGCAGACGACACTTGGAATTCCGATTACTGCTTGGGATTATAAGGAAATTCGGCCAAAAAAAAAAGTTGACGTTTGGTAATAACTGAAATCCCCAATTCAAAGTATACATTAATACATTTTACCTTGATTGAAAGTACTGGATTTATTCTACTAGCTGATATTGTAAAGAAAACCCATGTTTATTAAAACAAACTAATGCAGAGGTCGCGCAAGTTCGCTCATGTAAATTATTAATCATTTCCAGAAATCCACGAATAATAGGTTTCCACGAAATTAGGTTTCTTGACTGTATTTTCTTAAGATGGAGATTTTAGGGTTTTGAAAGGCTAGGTCTTGTAAAGGGCATCCAGAGAGCTGGATAAATGATTTACAGAGTTAGTTGGCAAATATCGCATCATAGTATGTCATAGTTGTGTCATTTTGCATCTTCATCATAATAATATAATATTCATAATGCTTTTGTGGTGAAGGAAAGCTAAGGTGAATGCAGCACTGATGGCAAAGTTTTTAAGATTATTGGAAATGGAAACAATTTAACAGACATAGACATAATAAAATGTGTCCGCATCTCAGGTTGCTTCAAAACTTTGGATTCAGTGATGACTATAGTATGATTAGGGACTCCAGAAAGTAAATATAACAAATTAACCCGGTAAAATAATTTAGATCAGATTTTGTTAAAGAGACAGATGTGTAATTTTGGTGTTGGTTTAAGTTTTGTATATAATTATGTAAATTGTCTTCAGAAGCACTAGTTATGTACGAAAATCGCTTAATTCCTTCAAAAATATCTCAAACTAGGAATTTCTTGTCTTATTCCTAAAGATGTCTTTTCTATAAGTGGCAGTGCATCAAATAAAGATGACTTGTCTTTTTAACTTTCAAACGCAGATAATTCTGGACAGACATGGTTTTTAAAGGCTCAAATTTCAAAGGTTAGCTGTGGACACTATTAATAATTGACTTAACAAAAAAAATCCCATATATGAGATTAAAGTATGATTGGTTAAAAAAAAATGGCACATCAGTCCCTTTAAGTGAATAAGATTGAACCTGAAAATAATGAAATTGAGCTTGAATATTTTTTGTTTGTTTTGTAGGCCTAATTTGAGGCGTAAATTTGTGTAACAGTAACCAACCATCATGACTGACTCAGCAATACAGATGGAGAAAACTAGGAAATATGACATACCCTTGAGTTCACTGGACTACACTTACATCAGTGACTGTACCAATGTTAAAGAACTGGAAAAAATCATCAAAATTTTAAGGTAGGTTGAAAGGATATAGAGCACCATTTCAGCCATCTGTATCACTTTTCAGAATGAATGGTTGCTATTAAGCTGTTAAAGGGATATGGTTGTCTAAATATTTAATCAATCATCTTACAGAGCTAAATATATAGTTCATTTAGTCTGTGTACTATTTAGATAAAAACACACAGCTACAGAGATGATAATGTCATATTTCAGAGAACCACTACAGTTGATAACTATAATCATTTGTATATATGAAACATAATTTTATTTTTAGATCTGGTGATGAAGGACATTTTCCACAATTAGAAACAAAAGCCATGGAGAGATTGGAACAGCTTAACCCTAAAAGGTTATTATTTTGAATTTGACTAAGCTTTGATGTCTAAAAGAATATTGTATTGGTTTTTTAAGGCATAACCTGAGGAACAATCCACAGGGCACAACTTTTTAGGATTTTGATGAAAATTGTTGAAATTGTGCATTATGTCTTACAGAAGAAGATACGGTAACATAAGTTAAGGCCTTTGTTCCTCAAATAACAATTTTTTATGCTCCTTGTGGAAAATTTAATATGTGATGGCTGTTTTAGGCAGGTTTTTGTAAAAGGTGATGTAATTTTAGAATTATTTTCTTTTTTATTTCAGTCGAATGTTACGTCACGACACACCAGTTATAAAATCATCAGAATTGAAGAAAGAAGATCAATTAGAAATCAATGAAGATTTATTGGTATTTTATTTTATATTACCCTTTTGCTTTCTTACAGAAATTAGGAGCCGTGGTGGCTCACTTAGTTAGATGCTTGCTCCCTAACCTGACAGTCTCTTTCAATTTCTCTGTCACACAATTCATCACCAAGCTGAAATTTATCCAATAACTTTTGTTGAGTTTTTATTGTTTCTGTTTGTAGCAATGGACGTCCAATATGAAGAGCTTAGAAAAAGGAGGTGGAGAAGGTACCAGTCCGAGCTTACCGCCTGTACGAAAAGGGGAGATAAGTTTATCTAAAAAATCAGGAGAGCCGAAATCAAAACATGACAAGAAAGTTCTTCCAAGGAGTTATAATGAATGGGATAAGTATGTCTTTCAGAAGTTGAAAATTTAAGCTCCCCTTGATTGATCAAGGATGTTCATATCCTGAGATTCCAAACATATACTAGCAGTCCATCTATTTAGATTTTGAAAGAATAAATGATCACAATAGACCTGGCTTGTAGGGTTGGTCCGTTTGGCGATATCACAATAATTACCAGTATAGGTTTATATCGTTAGTCAAATGGTGTCATTTAAAAATAGCAAAGTATCCCCATGATATACTGCCAAATCTCAAAGACTGGGTTGTTCTAGACAGACATTTATGATCTTTCTTTCTTTTGACATTATTTAATGGAAGTGATATCCACTTGCATCCATATTGCCCAGTTTTCGATCAATCTAATTAAAATAAAATTACAATTTCGTATCTCTTTTGTTTTCCAACATCTTAAGTCTTAATTTTTATTTCAATAGTTTTCTACCAAAAGCCAATCCCAATGAAGTTACCGCTTTTAACCAATCAAAACATGTCATGTAAAACCTATTTCTTGATAAAATAATGAATTGTGGGATAGCTAAACCAAAGAGACTGTCATATTGCTCTACTTAGTTTTGATATCCCTCTCCATTGTGTCAGAGATTTGCTTGCATACAATGATAATTTTCATTATTTATTTCATAGAATTGATATAGAAAAGGAACTTGAGGAGGTTGACAGGGAAAGTGATGCTCAAGAAAGAAAACTATTTAAAGATTTAAAAAGTAATTATGATTTTGACATGCCATCTGTCATACATTCAGAAGGTAAATACTATTTTTGTTTTCTTATCCTCATTCATTTGTAGACATGGTGTAGCTCAGCTGGTTAGAGAATAAAAAAATTATGACATCATTGGTTATACCAAACCCTGTGTGCTTTTGATAAAAGAAGGTTAATGTTTTGATAAAATTTCCCTCATTGATCACTATATAAGTTTGCTAACATGATTTTCAGGAATGTCAATGGAAGAAAAGATGATGCGAGCCAATCGAGAAAAAGACAAAGGAAACGAGGTAAAAGAAAACATTTTCTATGCTATATGTTGTCAGGGCAAATTAAGAAAGAAATCATATTTGTAATAAATTAAATACCAGAACACAATTGTATGGTATACTACCGCTTAGTTTTATTGTACATAACGTTTGAACAATCTACATTGTCATCATTTGGTGAAAAAGATTGATTGATGACTGCATTTCTCTAATCTAATTAGTTGACCTCTGTTATATTTTCTAGGCATTAAAATCAGGCGATATAGAGGAATCTATTTTATATTATACACGTAGCTTATCACTGATAGAAACATCTGCTGTTCATAACAATAGAGCTCTAGCATGTAAGTTCTGCCTTTCTTTCTCTATTCATCGTTGGAGGAAGTTGAAAAATTGAATTGACATGAGAAAACATCAAGTGCTATAGTCAGTGCCTGTTAAAGATCTCACAACAGAAAACAAATTGCTCCATTAACCCAATTAGGTGCAGAACATGAAATTACTTTTCAATGCTTCAATGTATTTTTTGAAATATTGAAGTAGTCTTTGAAGAGTTATTGCCCTTGTCTGTAGACAGAAACAAGTTATTTATGAATATTGAATATGTCTTTGAAGAGTTATTGCCCTTGTCTTTAGACAGAAACAAGTTATTTTTGAACATTGAATATGTCTTTGAAGAGTTATTACCCTTGTCTGAACTATTGATCTGTGTAGAGTTATTGCCCTCCATGTAGATGTTGTCTATTTATAGATATAAAAGGAGAAAAATGGACTGAAGCTATTGAAGATTGTCAACAAGTATTAAAAGAAGAGAAAAACAATCTGAAAGGTCAGTTGAGTTGTTCACCTTATAGCTTCTGATTTTTCAACCCCTTTCCCTCTGTCAGTAATGCATGTCAGAGAGGCTAACAGAGAAAAAAACATTGGCCAAAAGCAACTTAAGGCTACAAACTGCAAGACGATGTCCTTCTTCAATAGCTCAATCAGAAACAGAACAGTAGGTAAAACTCCATTTCATACCATTAGCTCAATAAAATTTTCATTTCAGCATTATTGAGACTTTCATCAGCCTTTGTTGGTTTAGAAGATATAGATTCAGCTGAGAGAAATTTAGAATTAGTTTTAACTCAGGACAGTGGAAATAAAAAAGCTCAGGTAAGATGCAGTAAGACATGTGCCCTAGTAGCTGATACAGCTTGATTTCAGCTTTCCCTGCCTGGTCGTCATAATATATCTGTTTTATCAACTGATAAAGCTCAATTTCAGCTATCTGTATAGTCATCTTAATATTTACTTCACCATTTGAAAGAGCTCAAATTCAGCTATCTGTGTAGTGGTCTAAATATTTTCTTTACCAGCTGATAGAGCTGAATTTCAGCTATCTGTATAGTTGTCTAAATATTTACTGGAGCTTGGTTTTCTTGAACAAGGGTCTCAACATTTGGAAATAACTTGGTGTAGATCACCATTGTCAAAATCCCCCCTTTGAGTAAAATTCATCCCAAATCCCCCCTCCAAGAATTAAGAATTCACCCGTGGGGGTGCATATGGACCCATGTTGAGAAGAACTGGTCTATTTTATATTAACATTACCATATACAAAGACAGACTTTATTTTTTTGTTTAGTTTTGATATGAAATTTTGATTTTTATAAAAGCTTGATAGCTTTAAGCTCAATATATGAAGTTATATTTGTCTGTATTTCCAAATTCCTTTTACAGGAATTGATGAGAAACTGTGATGAAATTAGAAAAAAGAAGGCAGATCGCAAACAGAAAGGACGTAGAATGGTCATAGAGGAAGTAGATGGTACCGAAAAGACGGTAACCAATGGCAACCAAGCTAGTCTTAACGATGCCAAATCAAAACCTCAAACTATCCCAGTTAGTAGACAAAACGGTATTCACGAAGATCCGAAAAAAATTAAAAACACCAAAATTAAAGAAGTTCCAAAAAAAATGGAAGACATGGTAACAAAAGAGGAAGGGAAGAAAAAAGACGATAATGATATTTGGTCGTTGGATGAAATTGAAAATTTAGTCAACGTTAATGATAAAGTTGATCTCAGCGCCATGGGAATGGGAATCGATAATCCAAATGTGATGCCCCAGAAACCATCTGGGTTTAAAAATAATTATTCCAATTATGATGATAATAATGATGAAGATAGTATCCAAGAATTGGAGGTAGAGAAGCCATCGGGGGTGAAAATTCGAGAGATCACAGATGACGAGGCACAGGAAATCACTGACAGTCAGACAATCCGGGAAATTGCAGATGATGTTAACAAAATGTCTGGTAAAAAAATTACTGAATTGAGAAATGATGAGAAATCTTCAGATTCTGAAAAACCAGAACAGACAGGAGCAGGACCAAAAACAATTTCACCACAGGCACCAGAAGAGAGTGATCAAACAACAGTAGAATTGAATACCATAGAAGAAGCTAAAGCTGATCGTTTTACACGGCCCATATTTAAACAAGAGAAGTTGCCACGGAAACTACTTGCAGTCAAGGAGGAGGGAAGTAATTTATTTCGAACTGGGCAATATGGGAAAGCTATACTACGCTATACTACACTAATAGAAGAACTTGAGAAAGGTAAGTCGTCTTTTCTTATTTTTTTTTAGATTAGTGGGAGTTGTTCAACACATAGCATGCTAATTCTGGGCTTTGATTCTGCTCAAGATATTATATTTTGACTTTTTTCAGCCCGTTTTCCTAAAGACAGGTCAGAAGGCTGACATTTAAAATGGGGAAACAGATGTTTGTGTACATGTTTGTGTTTCTTCCTGACAAATGGAACATTACATATTTATTTGCTGTTAGTCCAACTTTTTTTTGCATTTCATCTTAGATTCCATCCACCAAATTGTGAATTTATCTCTGATGTTTAGCAATAGAGCAGCTTGTTACCTAAAAACAGGACACAGTAAGGCAGCTATGAAAGACTGTGAGAGATCGTTAGAGAATATACCCCACACTATTAAACCTTTATTACGTCATGCAGCAGCCTGTGAACATTTAGAGAAGTAAGTCTTTTAGGGTTTATTTTGAGGTCTCAAGAATAGTAATTCAGCAGCTAACATTGTAGCATTTTCCATATTTTTCTGTGTTTCAAATCTTAATGGTTGTGGTTGTGCCATGTTATATATTTATTTTGTAGGTACCGTCAAGCATATATTGACTACTGGCATATTTTGAGTATAGACTCAAGTGTCCAGTTAGCTCAGTCGGGATCAACCAGGTTAGTTCATTTTGATTGAACAGTTTACATATTTATGGATATGTTTTGGGCATACCTTTACCCATCAACTCGATCAGCCTCTGCAATTGGAACTTAAAGAGTTTCCGCATATATTAACTTTTCCATAAATGAGATATATTCAATAATTTGGCATGCATAAAAAAAACCACCCCATTTTACAATTGTACTTGTCTTATGTGTGAAAGAGTTATCTCCACTGAATTTTGCTTCCATTGTTAGATGTCAGACTATACTTCATCAATTGGATGGTACAATCTGGAGAGAGAAGTTACCTCCCATGGTTACTGTTGCACCTTGGGAAGTTCCTGAAATAGTGCTAGACGATTCTGGCAGTCGGAAGTCAGAGCTAACTCCACCACCTGAAGATTTACCAAATCCAGATTTGGAGTTTGAGGAATGTAAAAAACAGGGAAATGGACTTGTTCAGCTGGTAAATGAGACTTAGAACTCTCTTTTCAGGCCCTTTGGGCCAGACATGGAAAAAGCATTCAGTCTTTTGAATGGAATATTTGTCATGGTCTCTTTTGGAACTCAGGATCAGAAAAGTAGGAATATAACTCACTTTATTTCATTTTATTATATGTAGTTTTTACTGCGAGTCACTCTTATTCAGGACACGAAAAACCAAGATTTTTTTTCTATTTTAAGGGTGATTTTGAGAAAGCTGTAGAATGGTACTGTAAATGTATTGAGTTAAACCCTGAAAACTCTGTTGGGTTCACCAATCGAGCCCATTGTTATCTGAAGTTAAATAAGGTCAATTTATATTTATTTACACAATTAGAGTAGACATAATATGTAGAATTAGCAGAACAAAAACTGGAAATGTCATCCTTTGGGCCAGTTTACATTTCTAGATATAATTTTAATAGAGTTGAAAGGGTTATAGACAAATCAGACATTGCATTTATTGGAAAAAACTGAAACTGAGAAAGTGGGTAGGATACTAAAATTTTATTTAAAGGGACACGTTCGCCATCCATTTGCCCCATTGTACTTTAGTCTCAGAAAGGAGAATTTTTTAACTAATCTTTCACTGAAATTGAGCCGAAAATTTCATGTGTGTAGTCAAAATAGTCCCTCGTCTTTCTTGCAATATTCAGAAATAGAAAGTGAAATTTCTTGTTTGAAGTATATTTGAAGGGATTATGTGATTTTCGTTTAGTTCTAGTACTTCTGAAGACTATTTACATATATTCAAGACCTAAATCAATCCCTGAAAACGGCGAACTATATATTTGAATATGATTTAACTGTTAGTTGATATACAACAACTGTCCTCAATTATTTGTTTCTATGCTGTATCTACAGGCAGCGGAAGCTGTAACAGATTGTAACCAAGCTTTAGCTCTAGATGGTACAAATTGTAAAGCTTTATATAGGCGGGCTCTAGCTCGAAAGGTAAGTCTTATTGTTTGCTTACTATTGTTAATTCTAGGATCCGGGGCTTCAACAAAAGAGGCATAGATAAATAACAAGGAGTAAAAAGATTTTACTTCAACAAAAGAAATCTGATTGGTTAATATTTGAAATAAATTTAAAGTCTCTTTTTGTGATGGAGTCTAAACGGTCCCTGGTTTCAACCTTGTTAAATTTCATACTGAAAATTTTATTTTTTCATTATAATGTAGGTCGAAAAGATACATTTTGATTTATTTTTTACCTGGTTTCCTGGTGAAATGATTAGCCAAAACTGAAATTTAGTGTGACTGCCCTGGCAAAATTTCTCTCGTTGCACACTCCATGGCATTTGCTGTCCTCATAAACTCAATAAGATGCAGAAAAGTGAACTTAAAAAAGGTAACCCAGGTAACAACTCATTATTGTTCTATTATTGTCTTGGCTTCCTAAAAAAAAAGAATATTTTGACCTGTTTCAGATGTTAGGAGAAAAGAAAGAGAGTTTAAAAGATTTGGGTGAAGTTTTAAAATTAGACCCTAAGAATATGGCAGCTAAAAAAGAATTTGATTTTATCATGCAATCGTATAAAGAGGTATGTGTAGATTGTTGCTTGTAGGAAGGGTGCAATTATAGAAATAGTGACTTAAGAGCACAAGATTGTTTGCCTTATTTCATTAGCCCAATCATGTGCTGAAAATAGGATGTGAATTACTATTTTATTTCAGAATTTTCTGATAGCATGCATATGTTTAATTTATAAATTGTTCATAATTGCTAATTTTTGCAATTATTTGCACTTGTTTTAGTTGTTAAGTCTTCAATTCATTGACAAATGCAAAAATTATCTCAAAACATTGGTTTTAAGGTCAGAAAGAAATGATTTTATCATATTTTTTATCTTATAATTTTATTTGAGCTCTATGAGTTGGTAAAAGAAATATTTTGATGACTATATCACTTTATATTTATTCTTCTGCATTAACCCTTCAGGAACAGAAATTAATAAAAGAATCAACTCCACCAGTGGAAATAGAAACCAAGAAAAAATCTCGTAGAATGAAAATAGAAGAGGTAGAGGATGAGGAAGTGTCAATCAAAGGTAAGTGGGTGGAGTTTTATTAATGTGGGTGCTGGTTGTTGAAAGAGGGTGGAGCTATTGAAAAGTGGGAGGAGTTGATTAATTTCCATTGGATAGACAACACAATGCAGATTTTTCATGTTGTAAATTATTTGTATTTGTAGACTCCGTCCACCAAAAGACTAGCTTAATTCAAACAAAAGAGAAATCAAGCAAGAAAGAAGATCAACAATCAAATAATTCTTCGTCAAGGTCCAGTTCTAGAAAATCTTCAGAGGAACCCCCAGAGCAGACAATAAAATCTCAGAAACATAAAAAACAGAAAGATAGATGCAGCAGCGAGAATCTGGTTACCATGGCGACCACAAACCCTTATAAAACAGTGCCCACAATTTCTAGAAAACTTTCCAAGGATGAAGAATTGCAGAAGATTCAAGAAGATCTGGAATGGTTAGATCCAAAACAACCGGATGCCCCACTTTCAAAATCTGCCAAACGTCGCATGAAAGCCAAAGCTAAGAAAACTGGAAGTGTAGAGAGAACTTTGGACGGGGATAGTGAAAATGAATCTGAAGTCAAAATAACGAACAAAAATCAAAATCAATCGGCTACTCATAAAAAGGGTGAGAGTGAAAAAAAATCTTCAAAAGGTTCAACTGATGAGAAGTCAGTAGAAAAACAAACAAACTCTAAATCAAGTGTTGAAGCTACCAAATCTACTGGTGAGACTACGGAGGGTGAAAAATCTGGAAAAAAGAAGAAAAAGTCAGCAAGTAAAGAAAGTTCTCCAGTGGCAGGTCTGCCTGTAGCTCCGTCCTCAAATCCTGTTAAAGGCTTGTCACCGTATGAATTTATGACAGCTTGGAATGGAGTTAAATCTAAAGATGTAGAATGTTATAATAATATATTAAAGCAAGTGCCTCCATCTGATTTACCTAAAGGTAAGGTTCCTTTAAATTCACTACATGACAGTTATATCTTGTTGTGTAAAATTGTTGGTTTTTATTGGTTAATTAAGGAGCAAAGGGAGGGAGCAAAGCTGTCAGTCAAATTGTTGATGTGAAATTAAGAGAGCCAAGTATTAAGATATTTTGCATATGCTGATTGGATGAAAAAATGTATGACCAGTCAGTTTTTCAACCCAACTTTCCCCTGTCCTTGACGGTTGGTGGAGCTGACATTGAAAAAGTGACTTCTTGTTCAACTTGTTACCGGCGTTGCATATTAAATATCCTTCAATTTTAGTGACTGACCAATTAGCTAAGGAGTTTTTGTGCAATTGGCATAAGTATTTTGTAAAGATTTCATACATAAACATCTTATTTTCAGTCATCAGTAATAAGTTGGATGGTGAAATGTTGAGTGTTATATTAAAATGTGTGGAGAAAAACTCAAAAGGTTAGTAGGCCTAGTTTTGGATGAAAAAAAACTAGACACAGTCGGAAATGGTAAAAGAGAAGGCTATTGTCGCTGTCCTGGAAAAATTTTCAGCATTGCACAATCCCTGGCGTTATGGAACCACTCTTTGACTATCTATATGTAATAGATGTTAATTATGTGTTAGATAACAATGTCATGGAGTACATTTTAAATTTACACCACTGCACACTGATATGTGAATATATATTTTAGGTAACAATATCTTGGGTTATAAAATATTAAGAAAATTGACCTCATTGATTATTGATATCATGTGTATTATATATTTTAGATGACAATGTTCTGAGTTTTAAAATGTTGAAAAATTTACCAAAAATAAAACGGTTCTCCACCATTGCCATGATGATTTCACCAGATGAGAAAAAGAGTGAGTAATCTTGTATTAGGGAACATTCTAATGAATATTCATGATATCATTTGATTTCAAACCAGCCTCTCAACACACTTCTTGATATTCATGTATACAGTTTGTTTTTGGAAATATGCACACACACACATAAAAAAGTTTTGATTATTGGTTATATTTCAAAGCCCCAAATGAACCTTGTTGAATTTGATGAACAACAATCCCATTTATTTATTGATTAAGGTATGTGGTTTACATGACATTGGGGGCATGGTTTAAATTACATTTGGTTGACATTGACAATGCAACAAATTTGATATAGTATATGGAACAAAACTTGTATTTTGTAGATCTGAAGAATGTGTTCAATGAATTGAAGAAGTCTGAGAATGAATCAAAGTTTTCAGCCAAGGATGTGGACTCTCTACAAACATTATATTCAATAAAATAAGACCGGCAATAAGCCTCATCAGTATTGCCATAATTTACTTTAAAAATGTAGTCCAGCAAAGATATTTGTGCACATTGATATTTGATTCAAAACACACACACTAGCAGTCTACTTTATGTTAAGGTGTAACATAACTTGGTGGTAAATTTACATTACTACAAAAACTGATATCTTGATTTTATTGCATTGTTATGAATCATTCCTGGATGTGTACAAATATTTTTTCTATGAATATGCCATATTTTGGGAAATATTTGCAATCCTATCATCTCATTATGTGCCTAAAATTTGTTTTTCTGTCATGAGGTTCAAGGTTGAAGATGCTCATATACATTACTATGTTACATTACATTTTTGGATATCAAATCCTCATCAGGAAAATCAGTATTATTAAAGACACTTGTTTTGGATATCAAATGGAAATGGGTATTTGGACCAGGCATATATGACTTCCTAATATTTAAGGAACAAATTTATATATTCAAAAAGTTTGAACTTTAACCTCTAGTTGAATCTTGATGCCCCCTCCCCTATAATTTCAAGGTCTGTTTTATTCCTGACACTATACAGTACAACAAAAATATAGAAAGGAGCAAAGTTGCATAGATTATACATACTTGCTACTGTAGATGACACGGCACAATGTTCTTGAACACATAAAATCAAAATGGAAAAATTTCTTTTCATGGATATGTCGTGTCATCTGATATGAAGACACTGCAGCAATATTTTATTGTCATTATAATTTATTTAGAAAGTTGCTTTTATGGAGTGGCATTATGTTTGTTGTACCATGTCAGATCTGGTGTATAAAGAACTGACATAGTGACAAAAGTCTGTACATCATGATGTGTTATTTATAACTTGTTAGAGTGCCATATTAAAGTAATTTGTGATATGAACTTTTCATTCGGCTCCTAATTTTTAGGTGGCTGAATATATCTTCTTGCGAAGAAACTGTCATATGAATTGAAAAAATGCCAGTGATATGTCATATAGAAATTTAAAAATGTGATTAAAAACACATTGAGTGGGCTTGCTTTCTAGATAAGTGGATTTAAAAGTTCACAATAGATTATGTATAAGTTGATCTTCATTTTGAGATGGAGTTTGATCAGCCGACTATGAATATTTTGAATGGTTGACTATTGTTCTAGATAGATTTGATTGGTTGACTCTTTTTCAAAATAGATTTTTTTGGTTATACCATCTTTCACAGAGTTGTATTGGTTGTTTTGAATTATTGTAAAATTGTGTTGAACTGATTGTTTGTTTTTCCATAAGATTTGTAAATAAAATAATATATTTAGATGGAGGCATTATTTCAGGATGCTTGTTTGGTAACCTGGTGCCTTATTATTGAAAACTTAAGGAAGGTAAAATCCCGATATTTAAGAAATACAGTAATCTTATTTGATAATAATAAATGACATAAAATTGATTTTAGTGATTAACCAATCAGATGACTGGAACACTCAAATCATTGGCAAAAGTTAAGTTTAAGAGAATAAGGACCCTGTTCTTGTCAGTGATGCATTTTCGGACTAAGTATTGGTTGATGGTATGAAGTAAAATGCACACTCTTAATCACTCTTAATCACATAAATTTAACTGAAGATATCCTAACTCTAGATGTCAGTCAAAATTTAGCCACTGCTACTTAGAGGAAAATGTTTTAT